AAATTTTATGCTGCTTTGTTGCCAGGGTGTCTTATCACAGCAGCAGAAAGGAGCTAGAATAACTCCATAATTAAATTCCTTTGTAATAGGATCTCTCTCCTTCATTCCTCCTCCTCACGGTGTCTAACCACAGAACAGGCACTTGACAGTAGGTTGCTGAAATGTATTGTCACTGGAGAAGGGGATCAGGGACCAAATGGAGGACATTAGTCCTTCCCCTGTAGCCTCTTTGCCCCTCGGTACCACCCTCCCCCAATCAGCCATGCTAGATACCCAGAGTCATCATTAACTTCTCTTCCTCTTTTTCAACCCAGTGATTTCATTTCCTGTGTATATTTTGACACTCCCTCTTCCCAAATGTCCTACCTCTGTTTTAGAGTAGGCTTAATCTCTCGCCTGCATTATGGCAATAGCTTGCTGGTCTCCACTTCCAGGCTTCCACCCTCACATCTGCCTGTCAACCAGTCACCAAAGTGAGCTATCCAGAATACAGACCTGGCCATATCTTTCCCAGCTCACTCTTTAATTTTTCTTACATTGCTTTATTTGTGTGTATGCATGTTTAACATAGGACATGTGTAGAAGTCAGAGGACAACTAGCAGAAGACAGTTCCCTCCTTCTGTCATGAGGGTCCCTGGGATTGAACTCTGATCATCAGGCTTAGAGCATCAGTCACCTTTAATGCGGAGCCATCTCTCCAGTCTCTGATAAACCAGCTGTAGTACTATACTCCTGTCATCCCAGAACTGAGAAGGCTGAGGGAGCAAGAATTCCAGCCTGGCCTACATAGCAAGAGCCGAGACCTGTATTGTAAAAGAATAAATAAATAAAGCTCCCCAATGGATTCAAACTGCTTAATCTGACACATGAGATGTCCCAGTCTGGCCTGCCAAATCTCAGCCTCATATTGCTTCTCTCAAGCCCTTTGTCCCTTCTCACTCTCAGCAAAAGTCCTATGCTAAGCAAGAAGCCTGTTGACGGCTCTACCAGGCCTACCTTTGTGTTTCTGGCTTCTTGAACATCTCGGTTGGGCTCTCTGCTTGGATTTGTTTTAATTTTCTCCTTGCTAATTCATCATTGTCTTTTAAAGATCAAGTCAGTTGCCACTCATCCAAGAAGGAGATGGAAAACAGCATCGCTCAAATCAGGACCAGGGACCCTCTTTGGGTCATGTAATCCTCTGAACATAGTAGCACCATCATGGGTCTGATTATATTTCTTTATATATGTTTAAAGGGCTGTCTCCTTAATAGGTTTAAACCTCATGACTACAAGAGAGTGTCTTTTTATTTCTAACACATGGTAGGGGGTAGGGTCTCAGTATTTGTTGTTATTGTTGTTGTTGTTGCTGCTGCTGCTGCTGCTGCTGCTGCTGCTGCTGCTGCTGCTGCTGCTGGATTTGTTTGGTTGGTTGGTTTTTGGTTTTTTGAGACAGGGTTTCTCTGTATAACCCTGGCTGTCCTGGAAATCACTCTGTAGACCAGGCTGGCCTCAAACTCACAGCCATCTTCCTGCCTCTGTCTCCCAAGTGCTGGGATTAAAAGCATGCACCACTACTGCCCGGCTTCAGTCAGTGTTTGTTAATAGAAATAATTACTACACCATCCTCTGAAGTTCATGGATGCATGCATACATGTGGTACACATATGAACACTCTGGCATGCACATACACATAAAATAAATAATTTTTAAGGCCTGCTGTTGTGGAATAATCTTTTTGTACACTGTGAAGATGTATCACTCTGATTGGTTTAATAAAAAGCTGAACGTCCAATAGCTAGGCAGGATTTCCAGGCACAGAGGACACCAGGAAGAAGAGCAGAGATTCAAGGAAACACAGAGGAAGGAGGAAAGCAGGATGGAGGGTACATAGATGAGGTAAACGAGCCTCAGGACAGCACATAGATTAATAGAAACAGGTTAATTGAAGTTTTTTTTTTTTTTTAAAGGCTAGCTAGAAACAAGCTTAAGCTAAGGCTGAGCATTCATAACTAATAATAAGTCTCCATGTCATGATTTGGGGGCTGGCAGTCCAAAAGCCTGCTGCAACTAGGGGTGAGCTTTAAAGGTACTGGGACCCAAGCCAGTCCCAGTATTTCTCTCTCTCTCTCTCTCTCTCTCTCTCTTTCTCTCGCCCCGCCCCCTACTGCCTACAGATCTGGATGTAGAACTCTCAGCTACTTCTCAAGCATACCACCATGCTTCCTGCCATGATGATAATGGACTAAACCTCTGAAACTGTAAGCGATCACCAGTTAAATGCCTTCTTTTACAAGAGTTTGCTTGAGCCAGGCGGTGGTGGCACTCGCCTTTAATCCCAGCACTCAGAAGGCAGAGGCAGGTGGATCGCTGAGTTAAAGGCCTGCCTGGTCTACAGAGCAAGTTCCAGGACAGCCAAGGCTACACAGAAAAACCTTGTCTTGAAAATCAATCAATCAATCAAACAAACAAATATCAACAAGGTAACCACAATATTGAACCAAGTATGGGAATCCTCTGATTTACCAGGTCTTATGTGATCACACAGGTCACAACCCGTGAACTCAGCTCTAGGACAAGAGGTTCCCAAATCAAGTTCAACTACCTCTTATTTATTACAGGCCGTGTGTGTGTGTGTGTGTGTGTGTGTGTGTGTGTGTGTGTGCGTGCGCGTGCGCCTGTGGAGACCAGGGGACAATCTTGGATACCGTTCATTTCTCAGGTGCCACCCACTTTGATTTTTGAGGATTTTTGTGGTTTCTACATTCCTTTATTTGGGAAGGGGTGCACATATGCCACTGAGCATTTATAGAGGTCAGAGGACAACTTGCAGGGGCCAATTCTCTCTCCACTGTGTGGATTCTGGGTATCAAAGAGGTCATCATACTTGGCAGCAAGGGCCTTTACCCACTGAGTCATTCACCAGCCCCACCTTGTATTTTGAGACAGTCTCTCACTGGTCTGGAATTTGCCAACTCGGCTAGAGTTGCCACAGGGATCCACCTGTCTCTGCCTCCTTGGCATTGGGATTACAAGTGTGTCCTATTGTAATGAGTCTTTGTCCCGCCAGCTCCCAAATAATGAAACAAAGACTTATCATTAATTATGAAAGATCAGCCTATAGCTTAGGCTTGTTTCTAACTAGCTCTTATAACTTAAATTAACCCATTTCTATTAATCTACGTCCTGCCATGTTACCCGTGGCTATTACCTCTCCCCCTGCACATCCTGCTCGCTCTGAATCTTCTGGCATGTAGTGATATAGTGTGAACCCTCATAAACTTGTCTGAGGATCAGAGGACAGGGCCAGCCACTAGACTAGACATAGAGGTCAGGCAGTGGTGGCACACACCTTTGATCCCAGCACTTGAGATCTCATGCCTTTGCTTGGGAAGAACACAGGCCTAAAGGAAGTAATATGGCAGGGCAGAGAAAGGTATATAAGATGTGAGGAAACAGGAGCTCATTCTCTTTAGGCTGAAGATTTTATAGAGGTAAGAACTAGTGGCTGGATGTTCCATTTCTCTGATCTTTCAGCTTTCACCCTGATATCTGGCTCTGGGTTTTTTATTAAAAGACTGCCTAAGATTTGAACAACACTGGCATCTCTGCCTTTCTTCTTCCCAGAGCTCTCTCTGTCCAGAAGTCCCTGCTATACCTCCTGCCTAGCTATTGGCCATTTAGCTTTTTATTAAATCAATCACAGTGGCACATCTTCACACAGTGTAAAGTGATATTCCACAACACCCCACTGTGTCTTTTAAAACAGTGTGGGTTCAGGGCCAGTGAGATGGCTCATTGGTTAAGAGCACTGGCTGCTCTTCTAGAGGACCCAGGTTCAATACCCAGCAACCACATGGCAGCTCGATATTGTCTGTGTAACTCCAGTTCCAAGTGATCTGGAACCCTCACACAGATATGCATGTAGGCAAAAACACCAATGCACACAAAATAAAAGGTAAATCTTTAAAAAAAAAAAAAGTAAGTTCTAGAATCTAAACTCAGGGCCTATGCTTCACAGTGAGCACGTCACTGAGCCACCGCTCGACTGCCTAGAGCTCACTTTTACTCACGTCTAGTCATCCCAAGCAAGGAAATGCCATATCTTTTGGCTTCCCGCCTAAGTTCTTAGTCTTCTGAAGTCCTTTTTAAACAAATTTCTGGGGCTATAGAGAAGACTCAGAGGGTAAGAGAATGTTCGCTCTTGCGAAGGATTCAGGTTCAGTTCCTAGTACCGGACAAGGTAGCTCACAGCTGCCTATAACTCCAGTCCCAGAAGATCAGATGCTGACTTCCGTTATCTGTGGGTACTTAGGTGTACACATTAAAAGGAAAAAAAAAAAAAAAAAAACCAAAAAATATTTTTTTTTTTTTTTTTTTTTTTTTTTTTTTTTTTTTTTTAAGGAAGAAAGAGTCGGGGCAGTTGGTAGCACACGCCTTTAATCCTAGCACCTGGGAGGCAGAGCCAGGTGGATCTCTGTGAGTTCAAGGCCAGCCAGGTCTACAGAGTGAGTTCAAGGACAGCCAGGGCTATACACAGAGAAACCTTGTCTGGAAAGAAAGAAAGGAAGGAAGGAAGGAAGGAAGGAAGGAAGGAAGG